TTGTAACCACAGCCGTAGCATACAGATGAAGCCATTAGTGCGACTGTTAACAAGGGGGTCTGTTACCTGCGTTCAGTGACAGTTTTCTGTAAAGCGAAATGTGAAACCGCTGTATTTTACGCGAAATAGCGACTGGATTGTGAGTTGGACCACTGCGTTTCGAATTCCTGCAGTATAGAATACATTTTACAATGCAGCGATGTGTCCATGGAACAAAGCGGTCGGAACGTTAGCCTGGATTTATACGATGGGCATGAGACTTTAATAGCTATACATTTATATCACTTATGTCGGGGCTGACCCCTGAACCTCACCATATACTTAACCTACACGATAGCAAGAGGAACGGAGCATGAAGCTAGGATGCTTCAGTCAGTATAGCCACTGTATATGGTTTAGACTACCATAGATTGTTTCTTGGGGTCGGGTGAGACTGAGTCCCGTTGGTACGTCGGCCACTAATTGGCCTATTATACCTGCCCCGGATGTTAGATAATTATGAATATGAAGCAGTCAGTGGAATGAGAATTGGCAGGGGAAACCGAAGTACTCGGAGAAAGCCTGCCCCAGCGCCACTTTGTCCACCACAAATCACGCATGACCTGACCTGGGCTCGGTGGGAAGGCGGCGACTAACTGCCTGGGCTACGGCACGGCCATTAGGGCTCGTTTCAAGGTAGTAAACAGCCGGGGAGTAAAGCTGGGGGTTGAAGCTTCATTTCGACGCCCCCACACACGACCTTGGGCTTATACGTCGCGATTCGACCTTAACGTGTACAGTCATGTCATCATGTCTTCCTCCTTGAGCGCGGGCCGTCGGACTCCTGAAGTTGTTTGGGGTATTTAATCGTTCGTTTAAAGGGTGGGTAGATCACCTTCGGGCATACAAGTAACTCAGAGGGCACTAGTAACATTGCTGCCTATAGTCCGTCCATCCTTAGCAGTGGTTCCGTTGCAGAACAGACCCGCATGGCCAATTCCTAACAAACGGCTACCGAATTCCCTCTTTTTAGTCAAATATTCTTATTTTTAAAAAGTAAAATGAGACTTATGAAATCACCCCGCTGTTTATCTATGTATCTCCTCCTAATTTTTAGGCTTATGAATCTTATGATATCATCTTGCTCTCTGTGTTACCCTCCCCACAAATTTTTGTTAGGAGGGTTATCAGATCACGTTGTTATCTCTGTGTCTGTTCGTCCACCCTTACTTTTTTCCGTTTTCTATGCGGTCCATGTCGTATGAAAGAAGAATAGGCGAGTATTTCTTCCAAGAACTTCTTGTATGGAGATGGAACACTTGGTAGATAATCTCAGTAACTCCCGGATTGTCTGGTTTGTATCCTCGGATACTCTGCAGGGAACTTTGGGGCCGTACGTAGGAGAAAAACTCAATACCTTACATAAAGTTCGGCCGTATAGACCATGTTAAAAGAATTATATTTGTAGAGATGGAAACTAAACTTCATAGACAATGGAGTAACCAACCAAACCTTCAACAAACGGCCAGCCAGTATACGCAGCCGAATAATCCGGATATTCAGAAAGGGGTTCCACAAATTGCTGACGGTAGGCAAGGACAACTGTTAGGTCTCTCATGTGTCGGATAATTCAAAGGTTGCTGTTAAGACGTAAGATGAGCCACGGTGAAAATAGAAAGAGTGTCTAATGGGGATGAAATGCGACAAGGATAAATAAAGCAGCACTTCCACAGTTGGAGAGACTGTACTGTGTAATGCTAAGGGTGGGGTGAAACTCCAAACTGTGTCACGGATAGAACACAGGGGACTAAAGGAACGGATTTACTGAGCATCAAATAAAAGGTACGAAAGAAATGTAAGGAGACAGTGGTTACAAGGAAATTTCAAGTGAGGATCAAATTTGAAGGAAATTTTAATTATGCTTACCTCAAAATGTTGTTAGGACTACCGAAAATGTATTATATTGTATTAATAATAGCAACCCTCGTGCACAAATGTGCGTGCTTATGGCTGCCGGCCAAACTACGATTTGGACCCTTGCCTATGTTAACGTATGAACACGTCACTCGTAACATCACATACAATCAACGTTAGCAGTGCCATCTCTGATTTCGCTCGAGTGCAAGACCGGAAAGTGGCGCGCCCCGTGGCTTTATGACGAACTCCTAGCAGACCTGTCCACTCAATTTCGTCTCAGTGTTACTTCTCACTTTAAAACTCTGTGGCTTTTAGTCCGCAAGTGAATCATACCAACCGAGCGACCGTCGCTTGTCGGCAAAGTTAGTGGCAACTTTTGCGGATAGAGGGTGTATATATACTGCATTTCGGTAATTTTTGTGTCCTGAATTTGTCGTGACTACATTTTATTATGACAGGTTTAACATGGCTGCTCCATGTACTGAAACAGAGTAGAACAAGGAACCAAGTTGGACGGAAATTGAGGCTGTAGACTTGTATTCGGTCGGTGTTCGGTTCGAATCCCAGCCGGGTCTCCGATTACCCTGACTGCGGGTAAGAGCCAGAGTATATTGGTCAAGTCAGACGCCAGTTAAGCCGAGATTGCAACTGAGTAGACGCACTTCTCAAATGCGAGTCTAGAACTGCCGTGACACAGATCCGCCTGGTTTGTAGTAGTTTCTAGAAGGTAACACATGCCTCTGAGGTCGTGCCCTACCTCAGGCAGTTTGTTGTCGGGATCAGTTTCAGGGTGGTGCACGTGAGGTTCTTGAAAAAGAAAGTGGCACGGGGCGGGTTCTTCTTGCAGTACATTATTTCCCTGGCGACCGATACTCACCCGTTTCTAGGGTCTGGTACATCCAACTCCATTTGGCACCGCAGTACAGAGTGACCCAGTCTGTCTGCATTTCTACAACTAGACACGTTATGCAGCTTGGTATTGAGTACTTTACGTGGTCATAGATTCCCGCCTGATTGTTTTATTGTCACGTAATTTGCAATTGGACCAGTTGATACAGCTGTCTCAATTAACTTTCGCAGTTAGAATTTCTTTTAAATGATACTTCGATTTAATTTAACCCCTCGCCGGAAACATACTGCAGCTCTTATAAAGATGACCTGCCCGGTACACATATTTTGTTGCTCCTGTTGATTCAGTCCCTAAAATTTGTTCCTCTGCTTAACTAATTAAGAACTACGCCATGAGGGCGTATGGTGGAGTAGATATACAGATCCACATTCCCATGACCTCGGTACTAGTTGGAGTTTCACGCCCTGGACACTTTAACCCCGGGTAAATATCCTCTGGTATCCGTTGTATAGGAGCATGCACTGTCTTCGCTCGCTCGGAAGACGGGATCGTGGGTTCGAATCCCACTCAGGGCATGGATGTTTGTGTGCGTTCTTCTGTGTTTGTGTACAGGTAGAGGCTTTGCGACAAGCTGATCACCCACCCAAGGAGTCCTACCGTATGTCTGAGGTCTAGTAAAATACCGAAGTCAAACGTAGAGTTTCATGGAGGTAGGCCTAGGACCAAATGAGGGCTGTAGGGCCATTGAAGAAAAAAAACCCGTTGGATAGGTTGGGTGGGCCCCAGAGACGGTCTGGACGACTTGGAGAAGATAAAATTCTTGCCCCAACGGGGACTCGAAATCTGACTCCTCGGTCGTCCAGCCCGTGGCCTGTAGATACTGTTTATTATAGTCCTGAAAACAAAACATTGCTTCCAGCAGGTTGAGTTTGCTATGCAGGACTGCACATTTCGGAAGGCATGCACCATCATCAAGCCTGGTACTTACCTGTACGTACCTAACGTAAATTTTGCATGTAAACTGAGTGGACCCGTCTATGTTTTACACTATGCACATTATATACTATATTATAAACTATGATGATTGTCTTTCTGTCTGTTGGTTAACACTGACGTTATATTGCTGTAGCTGTAGCTGTTGAATATTTTATATGAATACATAACACTGAACACACACATCTGTCCACTTCACAAGTTTTCTTGTTCTACTATTCTTCCTGGGACGGCCTGGCCTGAGATCTTGTTTGATATATTTTTCTCTACGGAGTGGGGGATGGTTTTTATTTTGTTTACAATATAGATATATTATGCATAATGTATAACTCACCGGTGGATCTACTCGAATTACACTGAAAAATTACGCTAAGTACATAAACAGAATAATTGTAACCAAAAACCTTACCTGAATATGGCACGCACGTACCGAAATTTGTTCTATACAGCAACTCTACCTGCAGGAAACAGTGTTCTTTATATAGACAGAAATATAATTAATATAATCTATGGTTGGTAATGCTGTTTATGAGAACTCATCGTTTATTCTCCGAATCATGAAACAAAATGGTGCGTTCTGTGAACGTAGTATATATGACGTCCTGAAAGTCTCTCCGGGATTTCAGCAGACTATATTTTCATAACCGTTACAGATATTAGAGGAAAGATTCACTAGAATGAAACTTAACTTCAAACGTTTACATCTGTATAAGTCCAGTTGCATTCCTTTGGTGACTCGACAGGTATCTAGATGATAAGCAATTATAATCCGTCTCTGGAGTTACTGTTGTAGCTGCTGCAATGATCAGCTGTTTGAAGGCATCCAAGTTGGCCGTGTGCCCAGTGCGTCCATATACGGTACTTCTGAAGAACTCTATAAGAACAAACCCTGGGTGTCTTAATTTGGTAATTTCGGAGGCCAAGTGACGGATTCTGGGCAGTGGGCACGAAGGTGAGGCCCCATCACTTGTCCTTTGCAGTCACCAAATTGGACACTCCACCACTTTCTCTTGTGTAGTTGTGTCCAAAGCGCCCTGAGTGGTTACACTCTGCAGGTGACCAAATAAAACAGCCGATCGCAGGAGCAGCTGAATTTCTGGGCACTATGTATAACTACCATCAGGCTCTAACGGGTCAGTGCGGCAAATAGTCACTTGTCAGGGGTACCCTGGCTTTTGTTGAGTGTGCAATAGACCACAAGCCTCGTCAAATTCTAAGGTGAATTCTCATGAAACTTGGACAGCAGTTGCCAACACAAGAAGATGCTAAGGAATTTGGGGTTTATTCAATATTTATTAGCACATACCACAGGACACGCGTCATAATTACACAGAGTACATAACTGTAAATTATATACATGCACATCTACTTGCATTACTTTATTTTGTTCATTTGAAATAAAATATATTTTATACTACAGACATGCCATCTGATTGGTGGATGTGGCTGGATAATCCCCAATCAGAAAGCAGCTGTTTCGTATATTTATTTGTCATTCCTTTAATTTCCTGATTTGTATTTATTATTTTTTGCATTTTCAAAAATATCCGTGACCCACTTTGGTAACCAATTATAAGGTTGGTATTCATAATATATGAACGATCAGAGCAGATCATGGATAGTTTGATATTTACTTAAAAATTTTTGTCTTCATTTGCGAAGCTCTTCCAATTGGACATTTCTTCATACAGGGGGGGTACAGGCTTTAGGCATTCCATCCAATTGGAAGGCTTTGTAACTGTATGTTGAAGTTTGATGAGATAGGAAATAAACCAGAATATAGATGTCATACGAAGATTTGGATGGAAGTGAAACAATAATTGGCATAGAGACTATTCAGGGCAGGGTACAAGAAACGACTACACAACGATGCGCGTAATACAGAAGCACTGTTAGCTCTTACTCAGAGACAAATATGACCTTGAATTCCGAACAGAAATCTAGAACATCTGATATTACAGTTATAAAAAATAATGCTTTAATTTCCTTTGTTCTGATTTAAGAATTTTACTCAAGTCTTTTAATAACTACAACTCTGAGGTGAAATAATGTCATAACTGATTTCTTCTCGCAGTTGCCTTATGTATACGTGGCCTGTTTACCAAAGTCAGTAAGTTGACATTTTGTGTCTGAATGTAAATGGGATGACTTGGCCATACTAAAAATATTGTCGTGTTTAAATGTGGCTGATTATGGAAATATTCTTCTATAGAAAAAAAAGATTATATTTTATGCCTTGTTTCAACCACATACAGATATTTTTTTTAGTATTATAACGATACAAATTTCATTGCATAAAACCGTTGGATATAATTAGTAAACGGCATTAGATGAAATGTTTGTTGTTAACTTTACCAAAAAACTAGGCCACATATACGTTACTTATAGTTGCCAATTTTCATAATTTAATTGGCACAGTTATGTAAATATATAACATTTCCATTTCACATTGTATTTCACTTGAATCAAAATAGAGGAATAGAAATACAAGTTGGTCTACATCCAGGTATATTTTAAACATAACCAAATACCTATAGCACAAGAATTAATATTACTTGAGGTAAAGGAGACTCATGACTTCCAAATAAATGAAGTTTCATTTTTCTGGGATGTTTTCTTTTGTATCACTTAAGAGTGGACACGCCTAACAATGTGAATTGTGGCGGTTTAACTAAAGACACAACTGAAGATTTAATAACTTAAAGAATTATTAATTCTTTTAAGTCTCGTAGGTAATATATTAATGAAATATTGATAGAAGTGAATTTATATTTCTCTGTATAAAATATAATTTTGTTTATTATAACTCTAAATTAAGGTCACCCTTAAATAAATTTAGCTCTCTGTAAATAGGAATAAATGTAAAAAAAAACTATCAGTGTTAATGTGTGAACTAAATCAGGAAGAAAATATTTCGGTTTTATACAGACAAGAATCATTTATCAGTAATTATCACACAATGAGTCCTTCGATCGCAGTGACGTCAATTGTCCAGTGTTCTCAAAATTCTAGCCATGAAGTTGTGACAGGCCTCTTGCCGCGATAGTTGGCACCAATTCCTCCTTTCTATTTCCCCCATTTTTGGAAGAGACCCATGCGTTGGCACCGACAGTTCGCGCCCCACAGGTTGCATCGACAGGAGCTGTTGTAGCAGCAGTCTTTAGGTCTGTGATCGCAGTTACCACCTCGTCTGACGCATGCGCGTCTGAAAAGGTAAATTAAAGAAGATCGTCTGCAAGGAAATTAGAATTATCTGAAATAGAATAGATGCATTCTGACCGTGCCAGTGGTGATGAACCCTTTTGCGCACCAGAACAAATTCGAAATTCTAGAATACGCGACTGTGCAGGACACTGAATGATGATGATGATGATGATGATGATGATGACAGTAATAATAATAATAATAATAATAATAATTTCAGGCTTGAGATTCTCATGGCAGTGACTACGAAGATTACTGTCTCCTGTAATGTGGCGCCGTGTAGTCTGATGTACGTTTCCTAACGTTTTAGAAGAAAATGCTGCCCACATTTTTCGGTTAAAAACTCTGAAAATGGAGGCAGTACATCCCTCCGAAACTTTGGTCAAAGTCTGCCATATTATATGACATCACAACCAAGGAAACCGTAAACTTCGTGACAATAACAAGTTTCCATTTCACTGATAAATTGTATTTTTAATTAATTAGAAATATTGGCGCTAAAGCAGAGACAAATGCATCCCTATACTTACAGTGTTAATTATTCATGAACTAAAAACTAATTAAAAATCTTTGAAAAGTCTCTTTGCTGCCAAATTGTCAATACGTACCGATGTCTAAATACCAGTATTTATAGAATCTCATTCCTTACATCTTGCTGCTGACCACAGTGTGAAGTTCGGTGGGTCATGGGTTGCATACCACTGGATTATATTTACAAAACAGTAGCGTAGATGGGGCCGTCTACACAACAGTAATATCTACAGAATGAAGACCAAAATAGACACAAACGTGTCAACATTTGTGCCTGATAAACAGTTTTGTATTCATCCTGTAGATATTATTGTCGTGTAGATCGCCCCATTCTAGGCTATTGTACACACACACAACAGGATGCATAACATACAGATTACAGAACAGTGATTCCCAAGATATATAACCTGAAGTCCTTAGGTCCTGCTACAGGCTCCCAAGGGTTCTGCCAACTTAATTTACGTTCACCGTGCAGTAGCAACATTGCAGGAAACTGAAAACACGTTTCTATCTCAAAACAGAAGAATACTAAACGTCCCGTCTAGTCACCACTTCTGTCAGATGGCAGAGAATAGTAACTAGGAATGTTTTATATCAGTCTGCCTGTTCGTCTGCAAACGTCAACTTTCAAATTGTACAAGACAACGGGACAATATGTTCTAATTTTTTTCATACATAATTGACCCAGACGTTTATTTATTGTGCACAGGGAAATACCAGTGCAGATAGAAACCCAGCCGATCACAGAACGCTTGGATCGTGGGTTCGAATACCACTCAAGTCATTGATGTCTGTGTTTGTGTTGTCCTGTGTGTAGGTAGCGGCCTTGCGACGGGCTGATCACTCGCCCAAGGAGTCCTACCGTCTGTGTAAAAAAGATTACGAAACTGAAGAAGAGGCCAGGGCCCAACCAAGGGCTGTTGAGCCATTGGTGAATGAATGAAATGAATGATAGAAATCCATTCTTGAGAAGGCGATCATACCACATGCAACACAGTGCACTGTATCATCATATTTTGTTACGTGTTTACAACGCTGAAGACTGCTTGTCATTGAGGTCTATATTTACCTTATGTAGCAGTTGATAACTGACCAAGTCCACCCGACCTCCGACTGGGGATACGGTAGCTAAGGTGCGGATGGGTAATTTGATGGTTTAACATGTGAGAGTAATTATTCTGATTATTGGATTTGTTGGGTTATGTAACTCAGCAGGAAGAGGTGTCGCACTGTCTGCAAGATCTCAATTACAGGGAAACATATCATGCACCACACAACAAGCCGCAAACATTCAATTTGATGACAGAAGTTTATTTATTAGAATTCACAATTTTATACCCTTGAACACTGAATTACTGTAGTTGCAGAAGGGATAAGATTTAATGATGTGATTTGTTTAAATTTATAGCGGACGTAAATTTAAAGAAATTAGTCTATTTTATAGAATGTTCTGGAGCGGACAAACACATCCTTTGATTTGAAAACATAAAGCTTCTAGGTGACTTGTACTCGTCACACATCTTCCCTCCAATGTCGGATGGCCGGCGCTAATACAAATCCGTCATTTACAAGTGGCTGAATAAAATAGCGTTCCTCCCCCTTAAATCGAATATGTGCACTCTTCTTAGTCGAAACTAACAAAGGTCACGCCATTCTAACGAATTCCCACGTATGCAAGCTATTAGCTCCAGGACCTCATCCTACCGGCAGGACCCGTCTGCACCTAACTTACAGTGACACGAATTGCTGTCTACTCAGAGTTTTGGCTCATAAGAGAATTCGAAGCTGCACGACATATTCATGTTTTTTAGTCCAAGCGAAAAAATGTAAGATTTCTGTGCTTTCGTTCTACTTCTATTAGTTCCAGAAAAAGTTGCACGAATCAAGCCCAATTAATAAATAAAAATTTAAACAGACCGATTACTTATGTATCTAATTGCAGGAAGCCACAAGTCTTTTTGCATTGTGTGCCCTATTTTTTTTAACAATTTCAGCATCGTGTAAAGCAGGGTTCCACCGTTTCGAACCAAAAATAAATTCTCGCTGCAATATTTGGTGCATACTTCTAACGTTAAATTTAATTTAAATTCTTCCACTGCCTTCTGAGATGAAGCAGTCAAACGAATAGACGGACCGGCTTAACTTCCGCTTCATGCGGCCATGTAATGAACTTCTCGCAAACAGTACATAACAGCAGGAAACTCGTGCTCATCTGTAGTTTTCTCCGTAATAACAATAACTTAAGAGGGCACATAATTCCGCAGTATGTATATTCTTTTTTTTTTTCTTTCTGCCAGTTACTTCATATGACCAAGAGAGTTGCGCGGTTAAAGACATTGGGGAACACTGCTATAGCTATTAATATTTGTGTGATAATTAGATGAAGCAAAACCAATATTTTCATAACCCAAAGATGTCAGTCGAAGATACTACGTATGATTACTAACGCCCCATGGTACGTTTCCAATATAACACTCCATGAACCACACAATGGACGAACACTAAAAAGGAATTGGCCAGCCGACCTGAGAGAGGGGTAACGAGGACTTATCGCTGGATAAGCCCTCTCCACGTCACGGGGAATACTACCACTAATTAGCTTATAGAATCAAACGTAATTCTGATTCCTTAATTTTATGTAAATAAAAAAAAGCTGCAGAATATGAGGACAATATGGTACTCGAAATTCACATTAAGAATTTATATAATGACGACTTCTCACTTAATGATATCATATAGAGTCTAATGGTATAATTTTAGATTATACGTGTAAGTCAGAAAGAGTATAGAAGAAAATACAAAACTATAATTTTGCCTGTGGTTCTGTATGGGTGTGAAACTTGGTCTCTGACATTAAAGGAGGGACTGAGGGTGTTTGAGAACAGGGTTTTGAGAATATTTAGACCGAAGAGGGATGAAGTGGCAGGAGGTTAGAGAAAAATGCATAATGAGGAGCTTCATAACTTGTACTCTTCTCCAAATATAATCAGAATGATCAAGTCAAGGCAGGGCATGTAGCACGAATGGGGGAGAAGAGGAATTCATATAGGATATTGGTGGAAAAGCGAAAAGGAAAGAGACCACTGGGAACACCAAGACGTAGGTGGGCGGACAATATTAAAATGGACCTTAGAGAGAAATGATGGGATGATATGGATTGGATTGATCTGGCCCAGGATAGGGACCAGTGGAGGGCTCTTGTGAATACGGTAATGATCCTTCAGGTTCCATAAACTGCTGGGAAATTCATGAGTAGCTGCAGAATTGGCTTCTCAAGAAGGGCTCAGCTCCATAAGCAAGTAAGTATGTAAGGGTATAGAAGGAAATGGCCGTGGCCTGTTAAAAGCCTGTCCCAGCATTTTTCTGGAGGGACTGAGGATAGCTGGTGCCGTGACCTAGGTTCCAACAAATTACTCCCCAAGAACAATTCAAACTTTACTGCTACGCCAGGCTGCTCGGTATTTCCTTGTTCTGAAACTTCAGACAGGCTTGAATATCCGTGTGATTCGCAATTTACAGTAGAATTATACGTCACTAACCGCGGGTTTTCCATTTGTAACCGTTTCTACTAACAGCAGCAGCTAGCTATATATATATCACTGATTTTGAATTTATGTTGTCGCCGTTTTTCTAGGACAGTTTTATTTCATTGAATAATTATTTGATTAGAGAAATTATTAGGCATTTATTTATAATTATTTACTTTTACATGTCTAGACAGTTACATATTTTATGTACTCTAGGCCATTAATTGTCGGTCACGGTAGCCGAGCGGTCTAAGGCATGAACTGTCTTCGTGAGCTCTAAAGCCGGGATCGTGGGCTCGAAACCCAAAGAACATGGATGTTTGGTGTGTGTATACGTTTATTCTGTGTTTGTGTTGTCCTTTGTTTAGGTAGAGGCCTTGCGACGAGCTGATCACCCGTCCAAGAAATCCTATCGTCTGTGAAAATGATCAATGAAAATGAGAAATGAGCCCTGTGCTCCAAAGTTGGAGCGAAGAGGAAGAAAATAAAAGGCCATTAATCAAGTCACGATAGTGACTGGTATAATGCACAACGTTGTCTTATTCAGGCAATACTATATTTCAGTATAAATTCTGAGGTTTTAAGGCACAAGACTGATGGATCTTTGACAGGTTTGTGCGGCCATTAATTTTCGAACCCGACATTCCTCCAAGCTGAATGATTTTCACATGCTAAATATTTGTTGCAAGTGCCTGCCAACCAAATTCATATGGAGGAAATTATGATGTAGTTGCCTGGTTTGAACCCAACGTGTCAGGTAAGAAAGTTAGGTAATTCCTGAAACACAACGCATTTTAATTTGTAGCAACGCATTTCGGAAATATAGCTCTCGAAACTGAAAATCACTTAGCATCATATCTCGGACCACTGCAGACGGTTGTGGCACCGTCTGCCAACATTTTTTCTACTGAAGTTTCAAATTCGACTGAAAGGTTCTAAATCATTAATTAATGTGACAGTGTTTCCTGCGTTGTCCGTGCCGCGGTGACGTCACACAGCAGTAGGTAGCAGTCACGTGACATGTTTACTGTATGTCCGTGCAGCTTGCGCCAATGGACTGGCTTGATAGTGATCGCGTGACATGTGTTTCCTGTGACTCATGTCCGCTCCGAGGCTATGTAAGTAAGGGTCCAGGAGGGCTCAGAGGAGTTACGAGTAGCAGCGGCAGAAGCACGAGAACAAGCAAGCAAGCAAGCAAGCAGTAAGCTGCAGGAGTACAGAAGAGTACAAGAAGTCAGCATGTGAAGATCTAACGTGTGATTTGAAAACATTATGTGTGCTATAGTGCAGTGGTATTGGGAGTCTGTGATTGAGGGAGACTTTTTATAGTTCCTGTGCTAAATCCGTGAAAATTAGTGCAGACAGGCTGAAGTGCTTTGTAGTGTTAACAGCAGTAACATTGTAATAATTAATTGTAGTTACGACGTGTAAGTGGTCAATAAATCCAATTACCAATCCGAACTCCGTCTTTAGTCACTCAAACACGTGACAATATACATACCAAATTTCATAAGGACTGGTTCAGGCTTTCAAAATTTGTTAGGGTGAATACACACAGACATGTAGACACACATATGCATGAGAGAAAGGTGATACCATAAGCCTATTTTCATTTTTCCAAAATAAGGGAAGTATATACCAATCTGATTGTAATACAACAGGATCGTTATGGATGATGAACGGAAATAAATGTCGGAAGAAGCAGTCCTGACCAATTTTAATGCATCCTGTAAGTTGGAAGATGCTTAAAGGCGCGTCCACATTACTCGTGCTCGTGTGACTCGCTATGCTCGTGAGTAATGTGGACGATATGACAAGTCAAATTTTTAATTTAAGAACTATAGCCAGTAAATTAAAATACGACTACAGCCTATACACACTACGAGTAAATATACGGATCACGCGCCGAAGGCTGGCGAGCAACTGAAGTAGTGTGGACGAAGATTTACGAGCACAAGTAAAACCCCGACGAGCACGAGTAATGTGGACGCGCCTTAAGAGGCAATGAACACTTTGTATTGTATCGTACTGTCTTAGCTCCGAGGTTAGAGAGTGAGGAATATTACGAGATTTTTTTCTGGAGCTGGTGCTATGAGGGGGGGGGGAGGCGGCGAGAGGACATGTTTTGTCTTGCACTACGCAAAGTACTCACTTCTGAGCAGGGTCCTGCAGTAGTCTCTCCAGGTTATTCTCACTGTAGTCATCGAAGCCTTCCTCTGCAACAGACCAAAGAGACACCTACATGAGAGGCGATTCATATGCAGTGACATACGTCCGAAATCTATGAAGTAGTCAGTTTCCAGTCGTCCACATTTGAACTGGCAGCTGATAACAAAATTTTACATAATTATTATACAACTTGATCCATGCTGTAAGAAATTAAACTACGAAGGAAGTGAGTTAGTGTAGACCTATGCTGTCGGAAATAAACCTCTCGGTAGACAACTCATCCTGTGCTCATTTTGCTCTAAGCAACATGACAATACAGATTTCTTGAGAACCTCTTAAAATCTCATTTTATGAGGTAGAAATTATAAACTTCAGAGCTATGCTGTCGGGAACAAATGGTCCTGGTAAAATAGTTGAAATTACATTTGCTCTACTGAGAGCCATTTCACTCTAAATAAGCTGTACCAATAGGTCTACGTATTTCTTGGGAAACTATGTAGGAATCTCTCTTTATAAAGATGATACAGTTATCTTTGGATTTATGCTAGCGGGAGTGAAGTTTTTTGATTGAATCATTCAAGCCATATTTGCTTGCGAGTTGTCTGTTTAGCTGCAAATGAATTGTCTGTACAGATTTCTTGAAATAATGTGTAAATTACTTTTATAATTCTTAATATTGTGCATCCTGTTGTGTGTCGTAAATAAGATATATAAAGCACAGAATACTTATCACCTTTCCAAGCTGTCAGCTGTCGAATTCTCAAAGGCCTACCGACTCCACTGAAACTACCAGAATTCGAGGAGTTGTACCAGATGTTACTTTCTGTCCACAACAAAATTGGAAGTATTTCACTTCTGAGTGTAAAAAGGTGGCTATCTGCCGGGTGTTTATAGATTATGTGGACTTAATAAAATCTTACTTAATATGAAATATTCTGGTCTATTATAATGAACGGTTACAAGTAATTAAGTAAATCATCGCTTTCTGTCCTGTTTGATCATATATTAAGATACCGAATTGTATATCTCAAGAAAGGAAAGTGACGTTTCCGTATACGGCCTTCCGATCCATAGACTGTTACATTATAGCGACTCATTTTCAGTGATGTGTCAACCATTCGGCCTAGAAATGAAGGCAAGAAATGGGGTGTAACACGGTGTAGGGGAGAACATGCCCGTCCACATTTGTCTGGAACGCCTCTGCGACAAGCTCTGCTGAGACTGAATGAGATTTTTCTCCTTTCTACAGGTTCCAGAAAAGATACAGAGACTCCCCTTATCTCCATTAGAAACATAAGCTGTTTCCAGGGCAAAGGCGATCGAAACTTGAAGCTGACCACTCATCAGTATCTCACGGAGGCTTCTAGAATGAATTAAAATATATCATCACATCCCTTATAAGTCTACATGGTGTTATACTTTGCCCTACGCACAAGTAACCCTTCAAAACTTACATGAAAGCCAAAGAATTCTAGTTACGAAACTAAAATAATCCGTTCCGGGAATAAATATGTGGACTTACAGCACAAAGTTCAATTTTGCCTCTCAGAGCGTTACGTTGACCCGCTCTTAGAATAGTCCTTGCCCCTCTGACCTTTCACTGCACGCGATATTAAGATATACATAACCCTCACATATTTGAAGCGATCATTCCCAGAATAATGACCCAGTTTGAGTGCCCTCCCAGGCCAACATTTCTACTGGACTACACGTATATAGGCCAGGGAATCAATATACGGTTCGCGGACTAGATGTGGCCCACATGGTGCTCCTTTAACATGTCAGTAAGTAACTTGCAACTAGGACGTTCCTAAGGAATGACAGAACCGGAGAGAACGTCCCAGACCTCGCAGTTCTGTATCATGGTATTGTTTAGTTTTATGGTGTCATCAGCCAGTTTGATTCTGTTGAACAGTGTGTTCATTATCTGGTGGGACTGTAAGGGCAACAGTACTCAAGAAACACAGGTGGTTATGACGACAGTAAGATAGCATTTACCCCACAGATGTGTGACTGCTCGCAACAGTTGGCAGAATCGCTTATCAATGACATTAGTCTCCAAAATACCCACAGTTTCACTGTATCTTCGAATCACACATGAAATCTTTTCACAATCTAATTCCTTTCTTGTCATTATTCTGCCAAGTTGCCAACTTCGAAGTCTCGACTCAATTCAATTCCTCTGCTCCAAACTCATATCCTGGCAGGCTGGCGTCTCGAAATTCAACTAACTCAAACGATCTCCTCTGTCCTTTTTATAACCCGTCGACACGGGCCACGCAGAAAACACAGCCTCTGTATTGTTGAGAAGAAATGTTTACAGCGCAGTTGCATAGCAACGGAAGTTACTCGATTGTTGCTTACGTATTAGTTGCCGCGGGAATGTGTTTACCGAGTCGTTGCCTAGCAATGAACGTCTATTCTGACTTCACTGTTCTGCCTTTCAGGCGTCATGTCACAATATAATTTGCGATTAACATTACAATTTAAAATACGAAGACGTGTCGGTGTTCAAAGAGGGGGAAATGAAACAAAATGCTAATTCTATTTCAGAAGCAAAGACAATCCCAAGTTTCACATTAAGAAGGCACTTTTAAGGTGTTTTCTCTTAATGTTCAGATCTGTTGGTTGTGGTAGAGAACTTCGTACTTTCCAGCCTTTCGCCTATTGAACAGTCTGAGCGCCCCTGGTTTAGATTTTCCCATGAAAGAGAAAACAGCTTTATATTTCTCTTTCGAAAGAAATTAAGTTTCGTACCCTGATGGTGCTCGTAGTCTGAATGTTATCGGTTTGGGGATCACATAGAACAATAATTAGATTGTTTTCTTATCTTTCCCTTTCGCCATCTACTCTGTGCCCTCTCTACAGCTTCGTCTTTCGTTATCTCTTTCGTCTACTTCTTTCCCTCCTCCCTGTTCGTCTCGTTCAGCGTCCTGACCCCGTAGCAGCGCGCACAGGATCTGACATGTTAAGGGCGCGCTGCGGTGCTTGTAGCGACATCTTGTTTTGAAACTGAATATGAGATTTCTGTCACGGCGGCATCCTAGATAGGATCTGAGTTGTGACGTACTGGACGTGGGCTCGTAGATAAGGACTCGCCTTTGAAAAATACGAATTTCGCAAGATGGTGATATCCAGAAGAGCATAACAACCTAAAAATGCGAAATATGTACGCTTGTTTACACTTGTGACAAAATCGCGGTACACATTAACTAGACATGTGCACTTCTATATCGTTGTAAACAGGTGTTCACTTAAATTGTGATTAGGCGCACAGAAACACACACACAGATTCATACACGTATTCTTAGAGATCTCTGCGTGAAAGTCTGTAAAAGCTTGGACTGGAATCATGGATCGGAAACACAATAATTGTAGCAGTAACAATAACGACAATAATGATGGTGATGATGAGATGATGATTCAGTTTTTCAGTTTAATTATTATTTATTTAGGTGCTAAAATAACAGCCCAGAGATCAGTTACAGACTGAACACTTGAAAAGGAAACAAACGCAAATCAATTTATTTTAAATAATAATAATAATAATAATAATAATAATAATAATAATAATAATAATACGTGTAGTGCCTTTGTTAACCAAAGATCGCGAGAAGGAACATGCGCTGCTTGGTAGCGGCCAGTAAACACATCAACAATATTCGGCCTATCGCTAAGCAATCGCCCATAACAACAATAGAAAAATTGATGGAGGCGATATTTTCTGTTAGGTCCGCCCTGAGGCTATGTAGAAAGGACCCCAGGCCAGCTGAGTGAGTTGAGTTGCGGGATATATTCCTTACAAAAAATCGAATCTAGCCCGTAAGTTTTCATAATTCATTCTTTCGTTAGAATACCATCAGAAAGGGGTGTGCACACACAAACGTACCCTTCATCTACACAACAGAATATAATACAATCCAAATGCAACATATAATGACGAATTCCGGAAGTAGAAACGTTTGAATTAGTAACAGATTTTGGTTAATCTTGAATTCTCCTTCTAAGGATGGTTGGTTTCCTTCCTAAGTGCGTGTGTAACAGTGAACTGTAAAGTGTGTAGAATAGTGAGAGCCCTGCATTGCCTGTAGTTGCGAGTCATCTGCATGTATAAGGGTCAATAAATGCAATCATGCCATCCAAAATTCGTCTTATAAGTCGCGCACAAACCCCCTACACGTGACAATACTAAGGAAGAAGCAATTCAGAAAGAAAAGTGGAGGCAAAAGTAAGAGAACGATAAAGGGAATTGAAGAAGAAGAAGAAGAAGAAGATGAGGAAAAACCAAATAAAAGTAAACATGTAACGGACAAGCAAAACGCAAATACGAAATGCATATACATAAAGAGAGAAAAAACTAATATAAAATTACGAAGAATAATGAAAGAAATGAAGAGATTAGAGAACAAATAAACAAACAAACAGAAACACAGAGAGCGGAAGCTAGGAGGCACTAGAACAGTCTTTCGTGATATATTTTGCGACACTTTCATGTTGAAAAGTTTCAGTGTCGGGTCTGAAATACGGAGACGATTGTGAAAGTTTGAGTTTAAAAAAGAGCATATTTTATAGAGGGGCAGTATTTCGCCATTTCTCCTGGTAGCAGCAAGTAACTACGGCCTAGATGCGAACAGAGTACTTCCCACGCAGGTAGCAGCAGCACTAGACATTTGATAAGACAGGAGGAAATGACGTATAAAGGAAAGAAGACAAGCATCCCGGACACTTTTCACGACAGCGCATCAGCCTCTTAGCCTCTATCTCCTTGTGGAAGCTTAATGGCGGAAGTTTGCTGTGCTTTAATATGAAATTACCTTAAAAGTCCTAATGACTCCATAACACTCTCAACGTGCTCTGACACAAACTGAGGTGCTTTTATCGAGAGGGTCATCTTCGTTACAATTCCTCCAACTTTAACATACGCCATCACGTCTGTCTGCAGTCCTGTTATTGTATGGCGGACACTAAATTTCAGCTGCGCAGGAAAGTTGTCACGGAAGGGATGCTTTATCGGAAATGCTCTAAACTTGCATTCGGGGGGTGCTCT